AACAGCGACGACCAGTCGTGGATACAGTTCTTTTAGGAACTTCAACGCACGGACCGACAGTCTCTACAGCAAATGGCACAAATATGTAGTCATTTCTCAAAGACTCATACTTGCGCCACTTGCTTAATTCAGAGCTGGCTCTGATGCCGCCCCGGCTCTACACAAGGTACCCTTGAGATGAGAGGCAAAGTGTAAACGCAAGTAGCATCCCACACTAGGGCTTTACCTCTCTTTCCCAAGGGACAAAAGTCATACCGTCGGGTCTCTTGCCTATATATATAAATTAAAATTTCGGATATGAAGTAGGCATCAGAGCGCCTGCCTCGTGGAGTGTACAGGAAAAAGTTTTGAACCAAAATCGTGTTCATTTTTTCATTTATTAGCCTATTAAAAATTCACTGCTAAACAAAGGCATCCATGTATCCCAATTTCGAAATCAACTCAAGTGGCTCCCAATTCACCTTCGCCGGAATGTTCATTTACTTTCTTTACTTTTTTGTGTTCTGTTTGATCCGAAATCTCCAAGGTACCTTAAGGAACAATTTCACTATCGATATGAATTTCATGATCGTAGTTTGCGTTCAGTGTATAGCTTGGCTTTGAACACTCCTTACAGCGTAACTTCTTTTTATAATAAGTCATTTACTTCACAAGCAACCAGACTCTGGAATTCATTACCACTTAACATCCAGCAAACGCAATCTTTACAGACTTTTAAAAAACAACTGAAGGAGTATTATTTGAATTTCCCGTCATAATTATAAATTATATGCATTTCCTCTTTTTATAAATACTTGTTTTTTTTTTCTTTCTTTTTGCTTAATTTTCTCTGCATATATATATATATATATATATATATATGTATGTATATATATATGTATGTATGTGTGTATATATATGTATATATTTATCTATATGTATGTATATATTTATTTATTTATGTTTATTAATTTTATAATATTATATATTCTATAATTCATATATTTATATAAATCGTGTTTAATTATAAGTTTTTGTCCTCAGTTTCATTTTATATTGCACGTTGCACCTATCCGTCAAAATATATTACATTGTTCCCTATTACGTTCGGTTTGTCAGGTAGAAATCGCTTAAAGCGATATGACCACCGTTTGTAGTTCTTAAGTTATTCCGTAATTGTAACACTTTGTATAAATGCAATAAAGAGTTATCTATCTATCTATCTATCCTTATTACAAATTATTACTATTTACAGTTGTTCACAAAAATGCTGTTGTCTATCTCTTTCTATTTCAATTTACCTCTGTCGCTTTTTACAACACCCATGGGATGATTTGGGATAGCGGATTCTCTTGCACCGTCACTACATAATATGGTAAGAAGCCTTTCCTACAGTAGATTACGAAAGGCCGTCGAATAAAAAAAAGTATCCACCTCTATAACCTTTAGGTTTATAGAAACTGTTATATAGATTATGTTCAAGTCCATACCTTCAAGTATTACACTGAGAGCAGTCTGTCACGTAGGAACAAGGAAGGCTGTTGAATAAAAAGTGTAGCTTCCTCTATAACCTACATAGAAACAGTTAGGTACATAGATTCTGTTCAAGTCCATAACTTCAAGCAGTCTAACAAGTAGAAACATGCTTAACGGAAAGTATAACGGGAACTCTAGATCAGCCTTTGCAACTTAGGAAAGCCTTTCTAAGGCTTCTTATAGGTTTAGAGCGGACTATGTACAATTCAACTTTCAATTTTCAAATGGCTACTTAATATTTATTCTGTTGTTAATCAACAAGAAAACATCGAGTGAATGTTTTTTTTTTATAGGATAAGGGTGACAAACGAGCACACAGTCCACCTGATGGGAAGTGGTTGCTGCGGCCCATAGACATCTACATCAATCCTCTGTTACAAATCAAAATGTAGATGCGTTGTCACCCGTGAGGACTAAGATGGAATGCCTCATTTCCAGTAAAAAGGGCCTCCGGCCACCTGCACTCACCAAGCGAAACGCAGAGGTAAACCTCTACTTCACGTTGATTTTCTGTGAGGTCGTGGTACCACCCCGATTCGAGCCAGCCCATCCGTGCGACAGCAAATGCTGCCGCGTGGCTCTACCACAGTTAAAAATGTGTAGTTAGTTTCTATCATCGTTCAATTTCACGAGTATATAAAAAATATACAAGGTCTCTCTTGCCAAGTTTAAATATTTAATTTAACAAGAACTATATAAAAAGGTTTATTATAATATAAATGAATACATGGTTGATAATAACCCCTGGCAATGAGGTGGTCGCTTCCAAGCTGTTTCTAAAATAAATTTTGTATATAGTTTGTAATTATTTATATTGTAAAATTTATTTTTAAAAAAAAGTCCCGCTGGGTTTCTTGCTGGTTATTCCCAGGACAGAGGATTTTTTCGAACCAGTGATAAAGTAAAAAAATGACTTTCAATAAGAATTACTTGTAATCAATATCGAATAAAAAAAATTCTATTCTATTCTATTCTATGTATTTTTTCTGACATATGTAACGTGAAATAAGGTCATGATTTTTTTTATATTTACATTGAATAATACCTTTTTTACTTATTATAAATCAGAGCCTAACTACAATCTCATCTAGAGATAAGTGATATTGCGGCTCTAGATGGTAAATCGCACTATCTTAGCATAACAAAAGCCTGTTGCTCTGAAGAAACTCAGACAGTTATCTAACGGAAAGATTGACGCCGGTAAATTATTCCTCTCCCGAATCCCGAAAGACGAAGCAAACTGTTTCGTTCAAATGCTTGGAATATCGACGACATTTTTTAACGTGGTAAAGCCATGCTGCAGCTGTATTAGTAATATAGTTGTAGCACGAATGGGTCGGCTCGACCGAGAACGGACCACGTTCTCACAGAATACCAGCGTAAAATAGCAGCTTAACACTGCTGTGTTTCGTATGGTGAGTGTAGAACCGGATACCCTTTTTACTGGAAAAGAGGCATTCCATCTTAGTCCTCACGGGTGACAACGCATCTGCATTTTGATTCGCAAACGAGGATAGATGTAGATGTCTATGGGCCACAGCAATCACTTAACATCAGATGGACTATGTGCTCCTTTGTCACCCTATCCTATAAAAAAACATAGAGGAAAAAATCCGCCGAACGCCTAGTTGTCCGATGGTGGAAAGACGAGGGAGGAATGAAGGCATGTAATTCCTGTGCACTCTATCTGAAATGTATCCTAAAGAATAACGAGAGGCTGGCTACTCTGCGCCTGTGTGAGTAGGGTTACCATATCTCAGGATTTGTCCTGAGATTTCAGGATTTTTAGACTCTTCTCAGGATTGCGGCTGCATTTTGCAAATCTCATGAAATCTCAGGACTTTTAGAACTTTCAATATAATACAGCTTACATTTTAAAGATCTCTTTAATAAAAAGTTAAACAAACAAAAAATAATTTTCCTTTGGTAATAATTCCACAATTAAAATCAAAACTTATTTATCCAAGTAGGTACTTAAACAGTTTTATCATACTTAATATCTGAAGATACCTTTTTAAGTAAGGTTTTCTTCTCAAACTGTAAAAAAATCTCAGGATTTTTAAATGGAAATCAGGCCTCTTCTCCGGATTTTTAATTTTTTCATCTGGTAACCCTATGTGAGAAGCTGACAAGATTGATTAATACCGATTTTTTATTATGTTAAATTCTGACGTTTTGAATGAGTGCTCAATGACCACGAAAAAACTTTGGTGCTTGACGTCCTGATAACATAGTTAGATTCAGCTATTACTTTTAAATTTATGTTGCCATCTACAAAATAGGGATTAAAAATATATTAAATTAGAACACGAAAATTAAAAAACGCATAAAATTAATTTTGTTTAGAAACACTATTACAATCAACAACATTAAGTAATAGTTATTGTTTATTATCAAGAAAAAGAACTCTCCGCAACTTTCCGAAGTTTATTCCCGACTAAACAAAAAATACTCTCTATCAACTATAAATAAAACTTGTCGATATAACCTAAAAAAACATAAAATAACTGAAACACGTGGGTCAGCACTAATGCGTCGCCGGTGAAGGAACCCGCTCACACAGAATGCAAGTCTGAAATAGCAGTAAAATGCTGCTGTGTTTCGTATATATATTATGATTTATGAATCATTCTGTCTTAGTTCTCAAGGTCGACAAAGCATATGCATTTTGATTTTTAATAGAAGGTCACAGCATCCATTAATCATCAGCTGGACTGAACTCATTTGTTACCCTTACTGTTTTTAAAAATTAATGTAAAATATTCCGATAAAAGCTTAATTTGAATGTTTTATTTAAAACTTGTACTGTATCAGACAGATGAATCTCATAGTGAATCTGTGTTTTTTACATTGATCCAGATATTACGACAATAACTTCTCATAGTAATCGATAGAGGTTGTCATAGTCTAATTACTTGGAAGTTAAACACAAAAAATAAATTATTAGTATGAATAATGTAAGGGCTACATTACTGCCAGTCCGTTACCAGTCACAATAATGTTTGCTAAATAATGACACTTATTGGTCGTGAAAATTGGAGTAATTCTCATTTTACCACGTTTTTATTGAGTCATTTACTTGTTTGTCTATATCTGTCGGTCCGTGTGGAATTTAGTACCTAATAGATTTTAAACTAACTTCCCGATGAGCTGGAAACATTAAATTTTGAATATAGCTCAAATTCGGATGACAATGCAAGAATATGATAAAAAATCGTGCTAATTTTTTATTATAAATTTAAACATTCCACTTGTTTACATTTAAACAATAAGGGTGACAAACGAGCGTATAGTCCACCTGATGACATTGCTGTGGCACATAGATAACGGTTCCTCGGTTCTTGTCACTCACTGCACGAAACGTAGAAACAGTATCCGGAAGCGCTATCGTCTATCTGCTAGCCAAGTGTTACAATAACGGCTAATTCACCCTACAATAAGAAAAAATAAGATATTATGTAATTTCTGTAAGAAATTGTTCTTACCTTTTGTTATGCGGCTATACACAGAGTACGTGAGATTGCGGAACTCCAAATCCATTGTAGATTGGCTGAAACAAAACAAAATGTTTTTATTGTCTTCAATGTTTTTGCACTTACTAAATTATATAAATTATAGGCTTTTTCAGGCCAGATGTCTTGAGATAGGGGAACATTCATTCTTTTTATGATTTATGTTCATCACATTCTACATGGTTGAAATCAACCTAGAGAATATGTGATCTTTAAATAGAACTAGATAAGGGTAAATCTTTATAAATAAAATAATAGAGGTTTGCAATTGTGTGCGCATCACGGAAAAAGTTTTGTTTTATAGACTTTTGGCCCTTAACTAAAAAAACATATTGCGATATCTTCATTTAGTATAAAGTTATTAAAGTTTTAAGAAACAACGATTTTTATAAGCGCTATGTATTCAGTGACGTGAGCAACGCAGACGAAGTCGCGAGTATCAGCTAGTTTTTAATAAAAAATTACATTTTTTGGAAACTTATGCTTATAATGCTGAAAGACAGAAATTTTGGTTTTATAAATTATGTCCGACGTTTTCATTTTTCATTTCACAAGAAATTTATACAAATTAAAACAATTGATTACATCGTCATATCCCAAGTTTAGAGGATTCTTAGGTATGTACGAACAAAACTACACCTCTTTATGTGGCAGCACAGACCATTATGTAACTACGGGTTGATTCAAAAATTGTGCAGTTATTAATCACACATTGGTTTCAGGTACATAAACTATATTATCTTTTTTAACTTTTTTAACACGTGTCCTTTATTATATGTATAACAGAAGATATGTACAAATTACGACAAAAAACTTGTTTCTATATTATTACACAAATATCAATAGTTCTCAACAAGTTTTAATAATCATAATTTAAATTACAATAAAACATATTATGTATTTGACATAATGTATTTTTTATAATTGAAATAACATTTGTGTTACTGCATACCAAACCTCTACATGCCGATCCCCAAATTAGTCATACTCATTTATATAATAACATGAAATTTAAATTAATTTCAAATAACCAGTCCCCTTAGTTAAATATTAACATTCTAGTATTTTTTATATCCGATTTTATGCGAAGGGCTTTAAAATAAAAACATTATTAGAACAGGTTATGTTGTATTATTCCGTTGTATCTGACTTAACTTTTTTCACTTGAGAATATGTGATTACACTTCTAATTTATTATTAACAATTCGTTTTATAAATGACTATACGAGCATATACTTATAAAACTGTATAGAATCTATCTCAATAGTTCTTCAAGTTGATAGGTTTCTCTTGCAAACTTGTTGAACCGCTTTCACTAATCGCTATGTTTCCACTTTTTCCACTATCTTTTATCTAATAAGAGCTACACTCTCTCTCAGTTATCGTCGTTAGTACTGAATGTATAATTAGAAATAAGCTGACGAAGATGCGATATTATAACCGTGTATACATGTTTTATTGGATATATGGTATCCAGAAGGAAAGTTTTAAAAACGTTATAAAGTGATAAACATTTGATTAAAATTATCACACTTATTTCGACATATATCAACACTATTACGAGTATGTAACTAAGCTTTTAAAATAATAATTGCATGGCTTTTAACTCTGCTAATATAATAATTTACTAAATACTGATAAGCAGTCACAACTATTTAAAAATCCATTTATTTTATCTTCTCGTTCACTGTATTTATAGTTATATTCAAGAAATTCAAATATTACATCATGGTTTGAATAATTTATTTATGTATTAGATAAAATCATTAATGATTTGAATAATTGATACCAAAATGCACTCCATACTCACTCAGGTCATTATTTTCATGTTTTTAAAAACACAACTATCACTTACATAAAAGAACACTTAACTCAGTCGCCGTGAATGACGGCGTAAGAGAACTCCACTACTCAATATTCGTATCACCCCGTGGGTGTCGCATATGAGGCGATAGTGGGAAACTAAAACCGGAGATAGGCAACAGGATCACTAGATATCAATAGCAAATAATACGTGTAGTTGCCAACCCGCCTGCCGTGCATGGCAAATATAGCAAATGTCCCCCCTTTGAGGCAATACATTAAGGAGGCCTATGTTCAGCAGCGGACTTTAATAGGGTCTGATTAATAAATTAATGGATAATTATTAATTGCATATTAGGTATGACGGAGACATAACATTCCTTGAGCTATTACTCTTTTTAATTTTGAAATTATTTTTATATTAGAGTGAGAGTTTTTAGTACACCTAACAGTCAATAAACACCCTGCAACTCACATTACCAAAAAGCTTCACAATTTGTAACTGTACCGGCTCTTTCCTTCATTAACCTGTAAAAATCCACAATAAAGGCTGCCATATTGGCAATGCTTCTATTGTTATTGCGACTGGATTTTCTTTTTTTTTGTCACACTTTGTTAATAAACTGCCCGATATACTCAGTAGCCTTTTCAAAAATTCACAAAAGAAAATGAAGCAAGAAACAAGATGTATTGTCGGGAACAAATCCGAAACCCCTTGGTACTGGTGATACGGGTGGATGTGTCCTAAATCTATGAATTTTGGATCTGGGATGTTCGAATAGGTAAAAATGGACATTTGTCAGTTATTAGAACGGCGTTAGCTAATTAAGGATGTTATTTAAAGAAAATATAGTCATTTCTTCAACATCTGCATCATATCTTGTGGGTTATTTTGTTTGTGTACTTAGGTGAGTTGTGAATAAACATATGAGGGGTAAATCGTTGGATCTTCGTTTATGGGTGACAAATAAATAAAAATGTTGAACTTTGTGTCCTAAAACAGCACTCGTGTTGATGTCACGTTGATATACCGTGCGGAAAGCGTACGCCGCGTTACGTCGCGTGTTTCATACAATTCGAGCGTCGTACAGTCAGGACACTGTAATAGAATAGTATATATTTGCTGATGGCAATGAGATAAGTATACACGCAATAAAAGTTGTTCATTGGCACTTCCATATTGCGCTCTACTCGTAGATCGGATCTCTCTCGTGGAACATTGCACTTTCACAAACTCAACTGACGTGCATACGCGGGCGCTTTGATTGGTAAAAACGTGCTAAATAATTTATATCTGTTCGTAGGGTCTTGAGAGCGAATGTAATATTGGCGTGAGAATATCGAATTTCAATAAACAAAAGAATTAGGTACTATCTTAGTTACCTATAAAAAAAAAATTCTAAAACCAGTAAGCATACTTTAATGATTGCAATAATTATGTTGTGTGATAATAATTATCTAATATGTATTTCTATTTTTAAAACGCATTTAAATCGAAGTTTAAACAAATCATGGCAGATGATACTCGTAGCATGCATCGCGTGTTTAGTCTATTAATATAACTTCGGAATAGGGCTGCCAAGCTGCCATCAGTCCGGATCGCTGTGGATTATAAGCTTATGGATAAATTATATTAGTAAATGATCATAAAAACATATGAGGTCGTTCGAATAAAGTTTCATAAGATGTTCGTTTAAAACTAGGATATGCAGAAAGTTAAAGTTAAAATGAGTAAGGTGTTTTAAGGCATAGAATATTCAAATAAAAAAGTAAAATAATTATTAATGTATGTATGCTTCTAAATATTATTCTTGCTATGACGTTCAGCATATATAGTTAGCAACAAACAAACTACAATTCGCACAAACTTTAAGCTTTTATTTCACACAACAGTTAAAAACTTTTTTCACCAACAATTATAAGGCTGTCTGACCTACCTATATAAGTTATAAATTTAATTTAATTTGATAAATATAAAGGTACTAATTTAAAAAAAAATCTAATAAATTTTGTTACCAGGTTTTCTTAGCATGGAAATAAAGGTTATCTTTTTTAGTAAGCTCTTGTTTCTGTTGCCTGTGATTAACCCTGTTTTTCCGTGCTATTGCTAAATAAAAAGGACAAAAGGGATAATTTTATTAAATAAATGTAAATGTCAATGGATTTTATTTTTATTTTTGTTAAAAAAAATCCTTCTAACGTGTTCGGGAACACAGTCCTTCTTTTCGGTACAAAATGTTCAGTTCTTTTTAAAATTTTATCCGATATTTGAGATTCGGTAGCCCTACCTAAGTGCAAAGACCTTTCTCATTCATTCTATTCCCACAGTGAAACGAAATTGATACTCACCCATCTGCGTATTTAGTGTTATAAGTTTCCATTGCAACGCATTAATAAGCAAGCATATAATATTAAATCTAAAAAACGAAAATATTTTGGTGACACATTATATTTCTTATATCAGTGTCTTAGGTACCAAATACATAGCTTTGCATTTATCTACCGACTTCAAAAAGGAGACGATACTCAATTCGACTGTAAGTTTTTTTATGTATGTTACCTCATTACTCTTTTGGTGAACCGCTTTCGATAATTCTTTTTTTATTTGAAAGCTCGTGCTTCCCATGTGGTCCCATATAAATTTGATCAAGGTCTGACTAATAGATCTTGAGTTATTCTTAATAATCTATATTGAAGTCGGTTGTACAAAATTTTTAATCTTAAACAACCGACTTCAATATATTTTATTAGTAAGGTTTGTTATAAATTATGTTACCATTTGGATCAAAGTACTACGCGATATCTACCTATGTTGCCTTAATCTTCCATTAGATACATAATAATGTCATCCAGAGCGAATTTTGGTCACGGCGGCCAGTCTCAACGAATATTAGTTATTTGCACACACACAGATACACTCTCTATTCCCACACTCTCATTGCCCGATAGGACGGCAATCCGACACGATCGTTTTTATACATGACATAGCCACGCTGCAACAATATCATTTTTTTTATATAGAATAAGGGTGACAAACGAGCACACAGTCCACATGATGGTAAGTGGTTGCTGTGGCCCATAGACATCTACATCTATCTTCGTTTCCGAATTAAAATTTAGATGCGTTGTCAGCCGTGAGGACTAAGATAGAATGTCACTTTTCCAGTAAAAAAGATCTCCGGCTCTCTACACTCACCATACGAAACACAGCAGCATTAAGCTGCT